GATGTACAAATGCGCTTTACACAATTGATGTGTGTATGGATTGCGATAACAATTGTATGAGCCCCTAATAAAATGTTTAAAAAAAAAACACGTAACTTAGAAGGGAAAAAAGAAATTCTACGGAGTAGTTCTACTCTGTCCTTTAAGGCCTCGATCGCTGAGTTAGTACCAACTGCTTGGCAGTGGCTTTGGTTCGGTTTTGGTAATAAGTTTCAGGATGGGGCAAGGCGTTTTGTCCCCCAACCCCTCCCATAAATATCCCCCGCAAAGGTAGACTAGGGCATAAAATACAGGAGACCTTTATTCCATGTTGATTGATAAACTGTTCATCTATTTCTAGTACAGTGGTTCTCAACCTTCTTAATGCCACGACCCTTTAATACAGTTCCTCATGTTGTGGTGAACCCCCAACCATAACATTATTTTCGCTGCTACTTCATCACTGTTATTTTGCTACTGTTATGAATTGGATGACCCCTGTGAAAGGGTCGTTTGGCCCCCAAAGGGGTCATGATCCACAGGTTGAGAACCACTGTAATCTAGTATGGTCATTAAAAGCAAACACACCCACTGCTGTCGAGTCAAATCCAATGCACATAGACCCTCGAGGGCGGCATAGAACTGCCCCCGTGGGCTTCCCAGACTGGGACTGTACTGCCTCATCTTTCTCCGGAGGAGCAACTGGTGGTTTGGAACTGCTGAGCTTGCTTTTAGGATCCCAACCAGTAGCCACTACGCCACCAGGGCTCACGGAGATCATTGCAAACAACTAACTACCCAGTAACTCAAATAAATATCTACACCTAAACCGGCTGCTGTCGAATCCTTTCTGATGCCTGGAAACCCCACGTTTCACCCTATGGGAGTTCCAGTGGCTGTGAACTGCTCAGAAATGGATCGCCAGGCCGTTCTTCCACGGCACACGACTGGGTGGATTTTAATCGTCCACCGTTTGTTTAGTAGTTTTGCACCCAGGGCTCTTAAAATAGCGCCCTGATGCTGTTCGCTGCTGCCCGGTCTCTTTCCTCTGAACCGACTGATACTGAGTTGAACTGCCCCCCCCACACACACGTCCCCCCACCCCCCAGGGTTTCAGGTGGTGTCCTGTTGGAGGCAGAGCACCAGGCCCATCCCGGGCGCTGCCTCTTGGAATGGGTTTCAACTGCCAACCTTTCAGGGAGCCATTGGGCACCTGGCTGCTTATGCCCCCAAAGACCCCACGCTAAAAACCAGCGATCAACAACCAACCAACCTCGATTCCAGCACAAAGCAACCCAGGTATGGCTTCTGAGGCTGTAAGTCTGTCCAGGAGGGAGCAGAGAGCCTCGTCACCTTTCTCCCTGGGAGCAGCTGGTGGGTTTGAACCTCTGTCCACCCTGCACCCCAACCAGGCCGACCCATAGCACCACCAGGCTGCGCTAGCAGTCCACACAGCAGGTTTAAAGAAAATCAGACCACAAAGAGTCCACTGTAGAAAGACACTTGATGGTTAATGATTAGAGCCGGGTTTGGCCTTGCAGGAGTTTGGTCATGACCCCACATACAGGAAGCCCACATACTCTGAGTGCCAGAGAAGCCAGAAGGATGGGGTCAGGAAGCTCTCTGCTCTCTGACGGGCACTGATAGGCACACGCCTCTCCAAGCTTTGACTGACTGTCTAGGAAGAGCCCACCCCCTGACTCAGCAAATATCCTGAGTCACTGGACATGAAACTAGAGGGGTCACACCGGAGGCCCCAGAGCCTTGTGGCTTCAGAGTGATTGCTGGGCTGTAACCACACCATCGGCTGTTTGAAACCACCAACTACCCCAGGGAGAGGAGGCTTTCTACTCTTGTAAACTCAGAAACCCACAGGGGCAGTTCTACCCTGACCTATGCGTTGGAATGAGCTCAATCGCAGTGAGCTTGGTTTTGATATTTTCTTGGGTTACACCTCTGGTTACAGTAGAAGTACAGGAATGGGTTGTCTTTATCATGTGAAAGAGACAGGATTAGTGTAGGTAAGGAGTCATAAATTGATCTCTTTTGAGATTTTATTACAGAGATTAAACAAGCAAGGAAGCCGAATTGGGGTGGGGGGGGGAGGGGGAGATGCTGCAGCAAATGTAAATCAAGGGGCGCTTTCCCAGAGTGGACAGAGAAGTCCCTCTCTGAGAGGCAGCACCCTGAATTTGAACTTCCAGCCTCCTAAACAGTGAGGGAAGACATTTCTGGATTGGACAAATCTTCATCTGGTTGAATCATTAAATTACATGCTGTGTGAATAATGTGCAATAGTGCTTTTTTTTTTTTTTTAAGAAAGACGTGTGCTAAAGCCCCACACGCTGCTGTGTTTGGCTGTGGCAACACTAGACAACTGAGGCAGTGCTACACTTCTCCCAGCAAGGTTGTGGCAGGTTAGTGTCCCCCCAGAAAAGATGTGCCCAAGTCCTAATCCCTGTACCTGTGCACGGACGTCACCTGGAACGAGGGATTTTGCAGACCTTGTTTCGGTTAACATGATCGATGTCTTACTGGAGTCGGGAAAACTCACTGGCCTGGAGTTGATTCCAACTCATCTCCACCCTGCAGGACAGGGTAGAACTAACCACCCCTGTGGGCCCTAATCCTGTGGTCACTGTGGTGTCCTTACACAGCAGGCGGGAAGACACGGAGACAGACATGGAGGAGGAGGCTGCTTTGAGGAGCTGCCACTGAGAGCTGGGGACATCGGGAGCCATCTGGAGGTGGGAGGGAGGCCGGACACCTACAGAAGGAACCAACCCTGGAACCCCCGGCTTGAACTCCCAGCTTTGAGAACGGAGAGGTCGTAGGCTAAGAGGCTGCCACCGCCGCCCCACGCCCCACGCCCCACACCCCACGGAGGGAACGGGAACTGGTGTGCAGCTCAAGGGGGACTTACAAGGCCGTATGGTGATGTGGAGACTGGCTGGCGGGACTGCCCAGCTGCCAGGTGCACCTGCTCGGCAGGTCGGGCCGGATCCATGACCGCTCCTTCCCTTCCTTCTCCGAGGCTCCCTTCCCCCTATGCACACTCTCGAGGTGGGGGCACCCCACGGCCTCCTGTGCCACCAGGGGTGTCTCGTCAGGCATGCTGGGGACCTGGCAAAAGGGGGAATGTCCATTAGTTCAGGGCTGGCTTGATGCTTCCTGTGTCGGATCACTCAGGAACCACCCACCCACCCACTCCCCTCCGAGACCACCATTCACCGGCCCGAAAGAGCGCGGGCAGGACCAAAGGCCCCCGGCTGCAGCCCCGTCTCGCTCACTCCCTCCCTGCCCCTCCTTCACACCCCAGGCTTGGACTCTGCCCCTTTCCACCTCCTCCTCCTCATTTGTCCACATTCTCCTTATATCTGGGACCACATGTGAGGGTCACTGCCACCTCTCAGAGAGTTAGCAGCCAGCCCCAGCCACAAGTCTCCAGCCAATTCCAGGGGGCAAGTCTGCCGGGAACAGAGAGAAGGAGGCTGCGGTTTTGGAAGGACATCTCTTCCCCAGGGAAGCGCCTGGGGCCCAGGAATCCAGCACCGTCAGTGGCTAGCAGGGCTCCAGGGCTCATGAAGATGTGATGAACAATGGGAAACTGGATTAAAGATGGGATGCTGGATTCCCCAGCATCCTCAGGGGAGGCAGGAAAGCCAGTGTCGGAGAGAAGAGATACGAGGACAAGGGCTTGATCTGCCTGGCGGCCTCGCCACCATTGAAGGAGGGGCCGCAAGCCAAGGAATGTGGACAGCCTCTAGAAATCTGAAAAGGCAAGAAACAGATTCCCCCCTAAAGCTTGCAGAAGAAAGCAGGCCTGCCAACACCGTGACTGGACTCCACGAAAATGACAGGTGGATAGCCCTGTGCTGACTCATTCCACCCGGCTGGTTCTGCTGCACTACAAAAGGAACACAGCAGTAAAACCGGAGAAGAGGTGTAAGCTGGGCCCGAGCCTGGGTTAGGAAGGTCCGGAGCAGGGTCAGCCCTTCCACCTGGAGTTCAGGCCTCCCTGAGGGGGTTTCAGAGAATCCATGGAGTCCCTGGATTTTTGTGAAGCTGCTGTTGGTCCGGTGCAGACTCTTGACAGTGTGCTGAGAATGACACTTCACCTCGTGAGCTCTTCTTTCCCTGAGCCCAGGGCCCCCCTGCACTGTCAGGGTGTCACCAACAAGGGCAGTCTGAGCAATTGCCTCAGCCAGCAGGAGCGGTTGTCAGGAGGCATGGTGATGTAATAGAATGCGGTGGCTTGGATGGGATCGGGGTCACAGCAAGAGCATTAGGTAAAAATTAAGCCAATTAGGAGGGCCTTAGTGGTTCAGGGACAGAATTCTTGCCTTCTGTGCAGGAGACCTGGGTTCAATCCCCCGGCAACGCACATCATATATAGCCACCACCCACTGCTAGTGGGGGCTTACAGGTCGCTGTGAAGCTGACCAGGTTTCTGCAGAGCTTCTAGCCCAAGAAGGAGCCCTGGTCGACGCACCTGGAACCCACTAGCCACTGCACTGCGGAAGATGAGGATGTCTGCTCTCGAAGAGTCACAGCCACAGAAGCCCACAGGGGCAGCTCCACTCTGTCCCGGGGAGTCACTAGGAGTCAGAAGTGACTTGTTGGGAGTGAAATTGTTTTCTAGACCCTGGTGGTCTATTCCCTAATACGATGATGTGGGAGTCCTGGTGGCGCAGTGGTTACACGTTGGGGCTCCGATCAGAAAGGTCAGCAGTTTGAAACCACCAAGCTGCTCCGAGGGAGGAAGACTGGGATTTCTATTCCTGTAAAGAGTTTTGGCCTATCAAGAAAATGACTTAAAAAGAAACCAAACTTGGCCAGTGGTTACCATGGGTGAAGAAGGAAGAACTGCTGCTTAGGAGGCCTTGAGTTTATGTTAATGGTGGTGGAATAATTTGGAAAAGGATATCAATAATTATACACCACGAAAAGGATAATCAATGGCACTGAATTATACGTGTAAAAGTTGTTGAAACGGAGAATGTTTTGCTGTGTATATTTTTGCCACAATTAAAAAATTACACAAATAGCAATGTGTACAAGGAAGAAGAAAATTCTAAAAAATGACTGTAGTAGATTGTATAATTCCTTGATATACTCAAATGATTGAATTGTATATATGGATGATGTGCCAATAAAACTTTTAAAAAAAAAAAAGAGCTAGTTTCTGAAACCCACAGGGTCAATTCTACCCAGTCCTGTAGGGTCACCAGGAGTAGGCATTGAATTGATGGCAGTGAGCTTTGTTTGGGTTTTCATATGTTAATTTATCGGTAGGCAAGGGCACGGGTTGGGACCAGCACCCCCGCCCCAGCAGTCTGCCAAGTCCAAGCCGCCCCAGCGATTCCTGTAAGAGAGGAGGCTGCCGGGACTTGCCCGGGTTCTCCAATTTCCAGAAGGTCCCAGTTACAACCTTGCACTTAGCAAAGATCAACAGCACCTTTGGGCAGGAGAAGGCCACCTGATCCCAGGTCCGGAGTAATTCACGCACCTAGTTAATTCACTAGGTCCACAGCCCGAGGCCTGTCCGGGTAGAAACAACCCCCCAGGGCAGTGTTTCCAGCCAACCCAAGCCTCCCCCACCTCCAAACGCACCTTTGCCAAGCTTCCTCCTTAAGTGGGCCAAATTTCCTTGTGCGCTCTTTAGACCCCTAAGGGAGCGACACTCCCATCTTGCCGAGAGGGCTCCTGGACTTGCAGACCAGTCCCAGCAAGCACAGGTGGCCCCGAGCCTCGACTTTGTCACCTTTCCTCTCTGGGGCTCCGCTTCTGGCACGGTAAGGAGCTGCCAGAAAGGCAGACCGAACCCCGCAGAAGCACAGTAGAATCCAAAGGGGCTGGGTGATAGGTGTTGCGAACTTGGTCCAGGGACCCGCCCCTCAGGGTAACGCTAGGCCCGGTGCACGTGCGCCACCCCTACCTAGGGGTGGGTCCTCGGAGACGGGCTTCCTTGGCGCCTTGGCCAGTCCTGCTTCACATGAAATGGCAAGAGGCTTCTGGGGTCGCGACTCCCCCAGAGGTACTCCGCATGCACGCGCACGGGTCGGGCCAGGGGAGGTCAGTGAGGATCAAGGAATAGCGATCAATAGCGAACCCCCTTTTGGAAGTCGGCGTTCTCAGTGGGAAAACAACCATATACAGAGGGACTCTTATTAACAACTTAGGACGCACACGGCCCACGTGTGGGTGGGTCCCTCCGGGTGGGTCCCTCCCCTCCCCTCCCCTCCCCCACCGCTTCTCCACTTTCCGGGACATTCAAGCACAGGGAATTGGGGGTCGTCCTTTGCCTCCACCCTCCGGGAAAACCCGCGTGCCCGGAGCACCACGCCCGGAACCCTACGCACGCCGCTTTGCGTAACAACCCCTTCTCATCCAAAACGCTGCAAAAATCAATGCTCCACACCCGGCCTGCGAATCTCCTAAAACTTTCCATCCCGGGCCCGCCCGACTCGGCGCCCAGACCTTGCAGCCGCTGGGGTCGCAGTGGGGGCCAGGCCCACGTGGTCGCCCAGCTCCGGCTCGGGACTGGTCGGGATTCAGGGGCGCCAGGGGCGCGGGGGCAGCAGCGCCGGTGGGGGAGGAGGAACTAGGGGGCAACTGGGCGTGGGGACAGAGCGGCGCTGGGTGGTGGTGGCGCCGGGTCTCGCTGGGGCTCCGCTGGGTGCCGGGGGAGATGATGCAATTCTCAACGGAGGAGGGGTGGGCGCGACCCCAGCGCCAGCTGGAACAACCCCTGCTCGAGTGGGTCCCGGTCTCGGCTGGGGCCGCGAGCTCACCTGGACGGGTAGCACCGAGCAGAAAGCGAGGGCTCACCAGGTCCCTAAGCTGCAACGCGCGACAGCTGCTAAGCGGAGACCACGACTGAGGCCCGCGGCTCCCCGGTGAGGGACGGACGGATAATCGGCGGAAGGCGATTGGTCGAGAGGCGGGGGCGGAGGCCGGGTCCGGCCAATCGTGAGTTGGAGTCGGTCCGGCCTGCGGCGACTCAGGCTCCGCCTCCCCCGTCCCTCCCCCGGCCCCCAGCGCGCGCCCGCCCGGGACCCCCTGAAATCCCCTCCTACGCTCCGGCCTCTGCCTTCCCTGCTGGGCCCTGGACTCCAGCCAGGACCGAAGACCCAGACCGTTGCGCCCCCGGTCCCAGGACCCCAGCGCCTCCTCCCCCAGGACCCTCACTGTTGAACCCTTACAGGTTCGGGGGTAGGGGGGTGGGGAACGGGGACGCGGCCGTTCTGTACGAGGTGTTCCCGACCCTGTTTCATTCCGTGCACTGTTTGCTCCCCGAGAGATTAAGGGATTATATGATTTAATGTGAAATACAACAAGCCAAGCACTGGCTCACGTGGGGAAGGACTGCGGGCCCTAGAGGATTGATCCTCGGCAAATATTTGGCGATCGATTTGGGAGACGTGGAGCTCGGCACCCTGGGGTCCACCGCGGCGCCAGGGGCGGACACAGCATGTTTCTACCCGGTCCTCCGACGCCGAACCCAAGCTCCCTGCCCGGCCTCCTCCTTTCCCTGCTCCCCCAGATACTGGGCCTTGCGGAGACCCTAAATGTGCTCGGGGCACGGTGTTTGGGTCCAAGGAGGTGGGCCCTTGTGAGGAGTCCCAGACCCTGGTTGCCTCAACGCCCCGCCGTTTGCAGCATGCAACCTGCTCCCTCCGTTAGCAGTTCTCTGTCAGGTCTCCCATTTCACAGGGAAGGGAAACTGAGGCTCAGAGAAGAAACTCCTGTCAAAAGCCGATAGGCAGAGCGTTGTCCACCGCTGCCTCCCCACTAAGCAGTAGAGTCTGATGGGGCCAGGAGGACCTCTGTCCCGAGAGTTGCCCGCCCTGCCCCCCTCCAGTCACCCTTGGAAAGCAGAGGAAAGACCACAGCGAATTAGTGATATTACAGATTTTTTCAGTTCGATGTCCTGGAGACCAGTGGATGGATGATCCCTGGCGCTAAAGTTATTCCTGCGCCTTTAGGGAAAGATCATCGCGACCCTATAGCACAGGCCAGAACCGCCCCTGTGGGTTTCCAAGACTGTAACTCTTTACTGGAGTAGAGGGCCCTGTCTTTCTCACACGGAGCCGCTGGGGTCAAGCCACTTTGCAATCAGCCTGGAGTTCGGAGTTTGCTTGGGGAGAAAGAAGCCAGACGCTGGGGCTAGCAGAGGTGTGGGACCAGCGCCCCCTTGGGCAGAGATCCTGCAGGGAAATACTTTGACAAACATCTGCTAAGGGCCTTTCAGCACCGTTTGGGTTTGGTTTTAACCATGGTAAGTATATATAACAAAACATTTGTCCTGTCAACAGTGGTGACAGAGTCATGTTTTATTTTCTCGATGTTTTCTCATTGAGCATCTGCCCAAACCAAGCCAAACCCACTGTCCTCCAGGTGCTGCTAACTCACAGGAGAGGGTAGAACTGCCCCTGTGAGCTTCCCAGAATGTAACTCTTTATGGGAGTAGAAAGATCTGTCTTTCTCTTGTGGATGGGGTGGTTTTGAACCACTGACCTTGCTGTCACCAGCCCAACGGCATAAGCCCACCAGGGCTCCTCAGGCCATCTTCCCGGTGGTACACAGGGTTAGCACAGCAAGCTGCCCACTGGGAGGTTAGAGAGTTGGTTCCACCAGAGGTGCCACAGAAGAAAGGCCTGGTGATCTACTTTTGAAAAATCATCCATTGACCATCGTATGGGGCACAGTGCTAGTGTGTGTGTGTGTGTGTGTGTGTGTGTGTGTGTGTGTGTGTGTGTGTGTGTGACTGATTACCAGGGGCTGAGTATTTGCACCTGGCACTGTAGACAAAGTGTGAGTCCGACAGACAGGTTCTCCATCCCTGTGGAGTCCCTGGATGCCGCACAGAGTTAAGCACTCAACTACAAGGCAAACGCTTGGTAGTTTGCACCCGCCCAGCGGTGCTCCCCACAGGCTGAGTGATCTGCTTCCAAAGGTCACAGTCTCAGATACTCTCGGGAGCACTTGTCCTCAGTACACACTCGGCCACTGTGAGTTGGAATTAATACTAACCCCAGCAGGAGCCCGCAAGATGTGGTGGATTACATGGTGGACTGCTAGCTGCAAAGTCAGTTATTCGAAACCACCTCAAGAGAGAGACGAGGCTTTCAGACCTCATGAAGACTGATGGTTTCAGAAACCCACAGGAGTGGGTCTGCCCTGTGCTATAGGGTCGTTAGGGATCGGAATCAACTTGATGGCAGTGAGTTTTGAACAATATCAGGACAGAGAGAAACGGTCGCTAGTATGGGTCACATGGTAGAAAATGTCTCTGGACAGCAACATTTGACCAGAGACCTGAGTTCTAGGGCGGAGGGAAGGGGGTCTGGTGACTAAGGGGTTAACTGAACTGCTACATGAAAGGTCAGTGGTTCAAACCCACCAGCCGCTCCAGGAGAGACAAATGAAACTGTCTACTTCCCTTAAGATTTACAGTCTCTGAAATCAATGGGGCAGTCCTATGCGGTCCTACTGGGTCACTACCAACACCATGGCAGTGAGTGAGTTTTTCCTGAGCTCTGCGAGAGGAGTGGTCAGGTTGGTAACAGCAATCCACAATGTCAGGGCTAAGGACAAATTCCAGGTGTTGGAGAAGGCAGCTGGCTGTCAGGATTGTTGGTACCCTGGAGCTGAAGTGGATGAGATGGTGGGAGGAAGGGGCTGCTGCACTGAGGAACCCAGGGGGTATTGATTCTTCCCCAGTCTGGAGGCCAGGAATCTGACATCAGATTGCCAACACCATCACCATTTCTGCCAGTGACCACTGTCCTTGAATCACAGGCAGATCAATCACTCCATCTCCTCCTGTTTCTTCACCAAACCCCTCCTCCTGCGGCTGTCTCTCCTTTCTCCTAGGGATGGGAGGTGTCACCTCGTGTGAACCTCACTGGTAACATCTCAAAGGTGTTATTTCCAAACAAGTACCAGGGGTTAAAAATTAAACATTGGCCCAGTGGGGGGAGGGGGAAACACACAATGGAATCCCTAATAGAAGCTGTCCGAAGTTTTGAGCTAGGAAGTTCCTGAATATTCTCTGAAACACTTCTTGTTATTCTGAAAATTTGATATAATTTCAGACTACCAGAAAAGTGGCAAATAATATCAAAATTTTTCCCCAGATGTCTTTTATCCCTATTTCCCAAATACTTAATTTGCTATATCCTCTCTCTCTCTTTCTCCCTCCTTCCCTCTCTATTTTTTCCTTGAATGATTTAAGAACAAAGTGCAGACATGCTGCTGTTACCTCCTAAATACTTTAGGGTACTTAATACTTTAGGGTGTACTTCCTAAGAGTAAAGGATTATTTCCCATAGCCACAATACAATGGTCAAAATCAAGAAATCACCATTAACATAAGAATAGTCCCTAACCACAGCACTAAGGCTGCAGCTCAGGGAGAGGGACATGTCTGATCAGAGCACAAGGGAGCAAATGAAGGGGGAGGAAGAGAGAGTGGAGCACA